ATAGCTGCTAATGGGGATTTCTTTGATGAATCCAAAATTTGAGTATTTTTCTATGTTATGTTCATGTTTATGTTCATAAACTTTTTATTTAATAAAATATGTTTTCATAGTTTGTGTTGTCCCTTATTATCAATTCAAAATGGTCACTAACTAAAGAGGATTTATGCTGATATTGCCCAAAAACCCTATTTTGTTCAGGTGTTTCCAAACTTTTGGAGGGCAGTGTATATTCTGTCTCTCACCCAGGTAAGCTCCGTGGTTCTTCAGCTCCTCAGGAAACTCTTTGAGGTATGATGACTTGGGAGGGATCACACTGCCATACTGTGTCTGTTTGAGGACAGCGCCATTCCACTCATAAGCCCCTACAGCACCTACCAGAACACCATCCTATGGAGACATAACTCTAGGTTATTGTAGAAATTTATTAATTTAAGCAATTTATTCGATGAACATTCACTGATCAGCCATAACATTAAAACCACTGACAGGTGAAGTGAATAACATTGATTAACACTGATATCGTTACAATGGCACCTGTAAAGGGGTGGGATATATTAGGCAGCAAGTGGACAGTCAGTTCTCAAAGTTGATGTGTTGGAAGCTGAAAGAATGGGCAAGTGTAAGGATCTGAGCGACTTTGACAAGGGCCAAATTGTGATGGCTAGATGACTGGGTCAACAGTCCAGCAGGTCCTGTGAGACATTCCCAGTATGCAGTGATTAGTACCTACCAAAACTCATCAAGGAAAGAGAACTGGTGAACCGGTGACAGGGTCATGGGTGCCCAAGGCTCACTGATGCGCATGGAGAGCGAAGGCTAGACTGTCTGGTCCAATCCCCATAGAAGTGCTACTGTAACACAAATTGCTGGAAAAGTTAATGCTGGCTATGATAGAAATGTGTCAGAAAACACAGTGCATCGCAGCTTGCTGCGTATGGGGCTGCGTAGCCGCAGACCGGTCAGAGTGCCCATGCTGACCTCTGTCCACTGCCAGAAGCACTTACAATGGGCATGCGAGTGTCAGAACTAGACCATGCAGCAATGGAAAAAGGTGGCCTAGTCTGATGAATCATGTTTTCTTTTCATGTTTTGTTTACCAGGGGGAAGTCGCTTACCAGGGGGAAGAGATGGCACCAGCATGCACTATGGGAAGAAGGCAAGCAGGCGGAGGCAGTGTGAATCTCTGGGTAATGTTCTGCAGGGAAACCTTGGGTCCTGGCATTCATGTGGATGTTACTTTGTCATGTACCACCTACCTAAACATTGTTGCAGACCAAGTACACTCCTTCATGGCAACGGTATTCCCTAATGGCAGTGGCCTCTTTCACCAGGATTATGCGCCCTGCGACACTGTAAAAATTGTTCAGGAATGGTATACGGAACATGAGAAAGAGTTCAAGGTGTTGACTTGGCCTCCAAATTCCCCAGATCTCAATCCAATCGAGCATCTGTAGGATGTGCTGGACAAACAAGTCCGATCCATGGGGGCCCCACCTTGCAACTTACAGGACTTAAAGGATCTGCTGTTAATGATTTGGTGCCAGATACCACAGCACACCTTCAGAGGTCTTGCGGAGTCCATGCCTCAACAGGTCAGAGCTGTTTTGGCAAGGGGGACCTACACAATATTAGGCAGGTGGTTTTAATGTTATGGCTGATTTGTGTATTTCTGTTAAAACCATTTTGGTGCATAAGCGGCAAACATTTATCCTTAAAGCACAAGCCTTAAAATAAATCCTTGCTGGTCAAGGCCTGTTTATGATCTATTGGTCTATATGCACTTTGTGTGTAAACTAATAAGAGTTTAAAGGCTAAAATATAGACCATAAAAAGTGACCTGAAAAGTGTAGTACTGAGGCTGAGTCTGGACTGGGAGTGAATCGTCCACTTCAACAGGCTCTGCACTGGCTGTTCTCTCTTACATAACCTATTTGTAATGGCAAAATATCTTGCCTAATAAAAGCAAAACAGATACCCATGAAAGCAGAAATAGTTTAGAGTAATATACACTTCTTTCATAAGTCTGTGCGACTGTAATGGCTTTTACAGTTACCTAACTGCTGTACTGCACGCTAGAGAAGTTAAACAGGTTTAACTAATAATAATGCACAGGTTTTGATTCTTAAATCTGTGGAGATGCTGGGCCATGAAAAACAGAGAGTACTCTTTCACAAAGAATATTATGGAGAATACTAACACTGCCAACACATTCTCTCACATTTGTTAGTGTGAGTCTGTGTGTGTGTGTTTGTTCATTCCAGAAAGTCAGCACAGAATTATCCTCAGTAACCTAGCACTTAACCCAAACCTAATTGTGTTACACAAGGATTTTCCACTCCTAGATGAAATTCTAAATAAAAGAATTTTGGATCAAATTCACAGGTGAATTTAAAACCTCCTGCACTAGACAATAGAGTTAGTGCTACAACTGTCAAGAAATAAGGAGAGCTGTGCAAAAGTTCCCAGCTCACACACCAGCCAACTATTCTTTCATAGACCGTCGACGTGGACAGTTTGACTGACTGCCACAGCACATTTGCACAGTAAACTCCCTCAGTGATATCAATTCTATGATACAGGCTGCTCTCAGTACCTTTTATGGTTCTATTATGATTTATTTGTGCCTGGGATACAACTGAGAAAAAGTTTATATGGATTGTTAAAATAGTAACAGCATGGTATATTTTATAAGCAAAACAGATTCCAAGAAGAACAGGAAGGAAAGATAATTTAGACTAACTGATTCTCTCTGAGAAAAGGAAGAACCAATGACAAAAAGTCACTGACAAAAGATATTTAGACAGTCATAATCATAATCAATCACTACATGGTCTCCATAAGACCTAAAACAAAATTCAGAATTCATACTTATTCCTAAATATTAGAAATAGGAAAGGATTTAAACTTTATTTCCATGTCTGACCTTAAGCATTAAATTTCATACTCAACTATTTGTGCAGATTCATGAAATGCCATCAACTGTGCCTCAGGAGGACCCTGAACTTGTATCTTTCAAGTGCTGGAGTCTGAACCGAAGACCACCCTCAACCAAACAGCAAGCAAAAGGAAGAATATCACTGAAAAAATGGTCTTTCTAAAAGAACTTTTTTTTTCACCTCTCTTACTGGGGTAAAATAGGCGTGATATGGGAAATAACTGAAAAATTATATGTGAAGTGGAAAATAACTTCTGCTAAGAGGAGACTAGATCTGCAAATGTGATCTGTTAGCGTCTCATGGACTGGAGTGTTTGGCATTTGAAGGTAAACAGCGGAGAGTTTTAATATTCCACGTCTGGGTCACGGAGCCAAGCTACTAAACCAGAATCTCAAATTTATTTTCCTACTTTTGTGTTTTATTTGTACCGGGTTTGACAGATAATGCCTTTATTTCTAATAAAATATATGAAGGGATTGTTATTTAACATTTCATAGGTCACAAGCAAATAAAACCAAACCTTTCCTTTATATTCACATGTATAATTACTCACAGAAAAGCCAAAGACACATGTGAGTGTGTTTTTGTTTTCATGTCCCTTATTGAAGGAGCCTGACTTCAACAAAACCATATGTGGACTGCTTTTCCTTTCAAAGTCAGAGAGAGGAAAAAATCTTTCCATTACATTATCTTCACTCTCAAAATGCCACTGTTCAGAGTAGCACCAGGAATCCAACAATGTGAGGTATGACCTTGTGTTATTTTTCCCAGGAAAGTGCTTTTGCCTGCCCTGAAGAGAGATTCATTTGCTATGGAGCAACTTCATAACTTCATATGGAGCAACCAAGAATAGGACAAAAAGCCCTTTTCAATTTATCTGTTGTTGTTGTTGTTCCTTCAGCTACTCCCATTAGGGGTCACCAAAGGGGATCATTGGTCCACATGTTTGCTTTGGTACAGGTTTTACACTGGATGCCCTTCCTGCTGCAACCATCCCATTTGATCCAGGTTTGGGATCAGCACTAAGAGTACATTCCCAGTGACTGGGTTGGTTCCCTGCCCAGGAATCAAACCAAGACTGCAGTGGTGAAAGCACAGGATTTTTAGCCACTAGACCACCAGGGAACAGCCTTTTCAGTTTATCTACATAAACATAACATTAATTTCAATTATTTAAATTTCAGTTTATCTACATATCATTTTAAAATGACTTGTCTTTATAAATATGAAACAAGCAGTGATTTTACTTCCTGGCATATTCCCTTTATCTCTTATTTGCAATTCCTGTGTACACACGCACCTGCTATCCTCTAACATTCTGGGATCTATTTACATGAAAAAAAAAGATGAGATAGCCTTTATTGTCATTATACATACATTTGTGCAGTACAATAAAATTAACTTATATTCATATATTGCTTTTCAATAAATGAATATGCTTGGAAACAGATAAGGTCAGAACAATGACCCTTGACCAGTAGCGCAAAGCCTTCATCACTCAGCCACCATGGCCATTTACTAATAACTGAGATGACAATTAGACACAATATCAAAACAATCTAGTTCCAAGTTTAATCTGGCATTTTCTTGCTTTCAGCTTAGAAAAACATCAGTATTTCTTTCCTTTATTGAATTTTGCACCTCATTTGCATATACTGTATTGTCCCTCTATGAAAAAATTGGACAATTCTAAACTAGCATTCTCAGGTTCAATAAATCTATGCTATTAATTAATTAATCATATATGGAATCCTTTAAAACAGACCTGATGACCAAGGGCCAAACTTACCTCCACAATGTGTGAGGAAAAACCTGCCTGTGACATCTGTAGTCCAAAGCCAGTTCCATTCTGACTTGTACCTACGGAGTCAGGGTAGATTTCTTATGATGGTATTCTGATATGACATGTAATTAATTAACTTTGGACTAAGGTAATAGTGTGTGATCTGTTGTTATGACCGCTAATACATGCAGAAGAAAAGCATTGCACAAAGGATTCATTGTAAACATTCTAAGCCTTTATAGCAGACATAAAGTATATAAACATTTACATTTTAGACTGTGATATTAACTAAAAGTTACCCTCCAGGCTGAAGATCTTCTCTCCCAAGGCATCCACAATGTCCTTCAGAGCAGATTCATCTGTCACACTGAAGAAATGCTCCTCAGGGTCAGTGGCAATGAATTTGATCTCTCTCAAGAACGCTTCAGGGTTGATCCCACGTCGATTGTAGTAGCCAAGCACCTGAGGACACCATCATGGAACTTGATCCTCATCCACAGCCTCAGGAAATACCATTGTAACCAAGATATATCAGATAACACCGGTTAACTACACAGTAAATTTAGTTCTGCAAGATTACCTCTATGCTGTAGGAGTGATTGTACTGTGCATACATTATCTAGACAATTTGTAATCACCATCATTAGTCATAAAGGCCAGATCAGTGAAATCCATAAATACTGATGTACATACAGGAGAGAATATTCCAGGGCAAGTAATATTCTCAAAAGACATGCACTGGACCAATGCTGAAGGTGATGTAACTGAAGACATCTAAAATAATAATAAAGGTGGTGATACTGCCTTTTGAGTTTCTGTGAAGCTAGAGGAAGTTCTGAGAACTTACTGTAGAAGGACAAAACATAATATTAAGAAATTATGAGGACTTTAAATCAAGTGATTACTGCTTTGAAAGCCAGAGAGAAAACTGCCAAGTGTGGTTGAGTATTTGGATGTAAGATTTAGGAATTTTGTCCTGCCTTGTAGAAAAAAGGTTATTGCAAGCTACTCACAGAAGAACATTTCAAAATGTGGGTTGGCAGCTGTGAGTGCCCATTCAACAAGAATTCAAGGCACTAAGTAGTATATGTTTTGGGAGGCAGTCCAAGTGTTCATAACTCTAAGGATAACAAATAGTCTGCTACCATTGTAATAAACTGTAATCAACATGTCAAATTTAATGAGTATTATGTAAAAGAGCAAAACTCCTTACTTTCAACAACAGCTGGTTATATAGCCACTGTCCACTAGGTAGTTCTCACTGTGACTGCCCAGCAGCAGTGCCTATGCATTGGCAACTAGTTATTCGCTCACCAGCTATTGTTTTCTTTTAAGCTAAAATAGCTTTGCAACAAGAAACCATTGTTCATTAGCTTCCCACCTCCCAATCAGAGAAATGCCTGACTTGTTCAGCAGGAGACAAAAAAACTCCATTACACCTGAACTGACATTCCTTATTAACTATATTGACTTACACTTTTCTGACTCTGTCTTTTCTGATCGACTGCCTGTCACCATAGACTTTTTTGAGGCCTAAAGTAGGGGTTTGATGATGTACATATGTGAGCTGGTGTATGGCATATACATAAAAATTTCCCACTCAAGCAGGTAGGGTGGGGTTTAGTGTGGCTCTGCAAGTTGTACAGTGTATGGTTATGCATGTGACAAATAAAATTTGAATTTGATTTTTAGGATGGAAATATTTGGGGATGAGCTAGAGTGGTAATGAATAATGTGGCATAACTGAGCACATATATTTATGTGATCTCCTTTTCTCTATCTCTCCCCGAACAGTGAGCTAGCCATGTGTGTCTGTGTGGCCATGAACAGATCAATGCCAAAGCCAAGCTGAAAATGGTGAAATTGCTGGAAAGTGTTCTCTGAGAGCTCCCTGAAGTACACTGTTCCCTAAACCTGGATGCTGCTTGGAAAACAATGTAAAGTGGGCCTGGAGCACAGCCACTTGCCCAAATGATCCAGTCCTTGGCCAAACTGCAGGAGCAGCACCAACAGGCTCCTGTTCCCAGATGCGCTTTGCTGGCAGTTCTGAGAAAAGCCCAAATTCCAGAGGATACCTCATAGTGTGTCCAATGCCACTGGACAATCTGGTTGAGGCCATTCAGCTGTCTCAGGACCACATGTCCGAGTATGCCGACACAGGAAACAGGCACACTGGCCTCCCTACCTTGAGAACTCAGCCGATCCATCACCTCACCAAAAGAAGCTGCTCCTGCTTGTTGCACTCATTGGACTAGATCCCTTCCTATTTGTGTGGAGCAACACTTCACAAGACCCAGTAGGGGAAGCAACCAAAGAGCTGGAGTTGGGTCTGTGCAGGTCTTTTGGGGCTGAGGTGAGTCACTGAACTTCTGGGCAGACTGACCTACCCAGTGCTGTTCAGTACTCAACAGGGTATACATCAGTCTTAGGTGGATTCATCCAGGCACAGACCCCGATTCAAAATGAGGTATTGGAAAGGATTTTGGAGGTGAAGGTAAGGTGTATTCACAATGATTTGTACAGATATCTGTTGGTGTAACTCAAAACTGAATAGACACTATATGTGCTAAAAGAACAAAACAAAGGTGATGGTTAGTCCTCACCTTGCCCACCCAGTAATTTTGGGAATGGATTGGCCAGGGTTCGTTCGGTTAGCAGTGGAATTTGGACTGAATGTGGGTCCTGATGAAGATCTCAGCAAATAATTCAGTTAGAGATCCTAGGCTAAGCAATATTTTCTTTAATGTTATTTAGTTGCGATTCTAACAGTGTAAAGAGGGGAGCAAGACAAATTCTTAAAATATCACACAAAGCCTAAGTCTTTGCTATGCTTTTATTGTTGTTTCTCCTTTATTTACATCAATCAGCCATACCATTAAAACCACTGACAGGAGAAATTAATAATATTGATTATCTCGTTACATGGAGGCCCCACCTTGCAATTTACAGGACTTAAAGGATCTGCTGTTAACATCTTGGTGCCAGATACAACGGCACACCTTCAGAGGTCTTGTGGAGTCCATGCCTCAACGGGTCAGAGCTGTTTTGGTAAAACAAGGGGGACCTACACAATATTAGGCAGGCGGTTTTAATGTTATGGCTGATCTGTATATATTTTGTAGCTTTTAAGGATTATAGGCTAATTAATACATTACCATATGTTGTTCAGGGGAATAAAATACAATATTCTCTCTGCAGAAATTAGTCAGAAAATGGTCAGACAATATTCAGAGTGTTCTAGTGAATTTGATATCAGGGAATGAACAAAAAATTCCAGGATTAGATTAAAGTCAGCTAGCTAAACATTGCTGTCACAAACTTCCCTCCTCTGTGCATTTGTAAAATAATCTTTGCTTGTAAACCAATAAAAGCATAATTATTGACTAAGGACAAACATACAAATAACTAACAACGTAGTGGCTATGCAGTAAAGGACCTTTGATACATTTGGTGGGAAATTAATATGAATGAGTAGCAAATAGATGGTAAAGGTAAAGCAGACTCACAGCGATTCCATACAGTGTGATGTTGTCTTTCTCACTCTCTTCAACAGCCTTTTTTAGGTCTGGGCTATCGTGTGATTCTCCATCAGTTATCACAATCATAACTTTTCTGGCATCTGGACGCCCTCCACGCTTAAATGCCTGGGAACTACAATTGATATTAAAAAAAATGTTTTATTCCACTACGCAAAATTCCTGTAATTAACGAGCTTACAAGCCTCTTTGTAAGAATTTCAAAACCAAACTCTGAATAGTGAAATAATAACTAAAAGAGAATATCACAGAATGACTCTAGAGAAGTGTAATATTTTTAATAAAAACTAAGACATTAAAAAAATGGTCGGCCATTGGTATACCGTGCAACATTGATCCCAAGTGCCGTGCGAGTCTCCTCTCCTCCACGCTGGATAATAGTCTGTGCTGCACTCACCACTTCATCAACTGTGTAGAAGTCATCCAGATAGAACTCATGCACCACTCTCTCTCCATACTGCACCACTCCAACCTGTGGAGAGCAGGAAAGGCCAGGCATAAAATTCCTAGTGCCATGGTTCTCAAAGTCTGAGGATACCCAGGTGTCCGTGAAGTATAGTTAAGGAGTCCATGATTTAAAATTTTTTTGTTAAAGTCGAAATCACAACCACCCATTAGCAGAAGTTATATTTATTATTGAATTCTTATAGTTATGACCTATTTGAATTGGTGTTTTTTCAGCTTCTCTCATTAGGGGTCACCACAGCAGATCATTGGTCCACATGTTTGATTTGGCATAGGTTTTACACCAGATGCCCTTCCTGACATGACCCTCCCATTTTATCCAGACTTGGGAATGGCACTGA